AAGCGGAACGCTTATCTAATCAGCCACGCAGGACAGACTTCTTCTAGAAGGCGCGAGCTTACCAAGTGGGAGAGGATGAGCTGTTGCGTGGGTGTGCAACAAAGACCGGGCGCTAGCACGGACAGTGGGAGCAACACAGCCTACGGGTCATTCAGAGTGGCTTAGAAGAACGCCACGAAGTTATATTGGCACACCGCAGCGATGGTGGCCGCTCCCCTTTGGGGGTCATGCCAAGGCCAGATACACGAATCAATGTGCTCACAGACATGGGTAAAAAAGAAACACAGAATCGATTCGCACACACTTCGGGGCAGTTTTCTTCACAAATTCTTCTTTCGCGTCGTTCACTTTTCTACCCTGCCACCTTAACCTTTCCAGTGCCTTACGTCCTGCACGGGGCCGCGCGAGGCCCCACTTCCACCCGCACGATTCAGTCGAAGTCCCCACCCCACCTTCCCCCTCGAACCTCTAAAAGCTTCCTCCTTACAACGCCATGGCCTCCTGATAGGCCTTTGCCCACGTGTCCTTGGTCGCAGACACCTTGCGGGTGACGGTGTTGTCGATCAAGGTGCTCTTATACCGGATGCGTAGCCCCGCCACCAGGTCCTTGTCTACGTCCGTGTGGAAGTTCACTTTGCTAGCCGCCGACGATCCGATCTGCTTGATGATAAGGCCCTCTAGCTGCTTGAGCGTTGCCGCATCAAGGGGGTCGGCGCTGGTAACGAACACGTCGATCTCGCCGCGCTTCTCCTTGACCAGCTTGAAAAACAGGTCTTTGATCTCGGGCAAGTGCTTGAGCATCTTCTGTTCCACGAAGTAGGGCAAAAGCTCCTTTGTGAACGGGGTCAGGCTCCCCGCCTTGCTCATGAACTTGTTCACCATCTCTAGCTTCTGCGTCGTAGTCCAGCCGTTGCTGTTGAGCCATTCCTTCGTGCCGATCAAATCCTTCTCGACCAGGTGGAAGTCTTTCTCCACCGCGTCCAAGACGCCGTTCATGGAGGCGTACGAGTACAGATTGCTAGTGATCTTGCCTACAGGGCCGGAGAGCCTCATGGGGGGGCAATGCTCAGGAGGGAATTCGACCTTGATGCGCTCGAAGATCTTCTGCGTCTTCCCATCGCCCAAGTCTAGAGTTTGGGCCACCTAGGGGAGAACAGAGCGAGGGAGAGCAAGTGGGACGGAGAAAACGGGACAGGGACCCGAGAAATATTAAGTCTTGCTACCCAAAAATCATTCTTTAACTATGAAGCGCTGAAGGGCTTAAAAGCTCACAACGTGCTTGCTTTTGACTTCTATTGACTTGTAACAAGTGCACAGAGGAGCAGGACCTTGGCGTAAGGAAATGTGTGAGTGCTTAGAGGAAGAACAGGCTACTTTTCCGAGCATCTGATTAGATACCAAAAAACAATCAAAACCAGTCCGACTATGGCGCGAGGGTCAATGATCTCCCACTAAAAAGCTAGACATACGCACACACACGGCCAAATCGAAGACTCTCACTCAACTCCCGCCCGTTCATCTCCCATGTGCCTCGGAAAAAAGAAACCTATGCATCACAGACCCACCGCATCATAGGATCCTCACCTTCTTCGTGTTTAACCGGTCCAAGGAGTGTGTGAAAGGGTTATATTCCCCTCCGCCTGACGCCAAGCACCGCACAGGGCTGACAGAGGCAGGGGAAGCCGCGACTCGGATAATGGCTTGCCGAGCAGCACGCGAGGCAGCCATTCGGAGAGTAGCGGCCATCTCTTCTCTATTCGCGCATTATAGATGGGCATTGTAGGGAAATGCATGAGCATGAGTGACACACAGCTTTAGAAGGGTTCATCTCGAATCGGAGAGGGCGGGTTGGCTCTCTCTTCCTGCTGCATATGACCTCTCCTCGCTTTCACAAACTTCGCCCATCCCTCCACCGGGGTATCGACGTTCATTACAACAGCATCGCCTTCGTACCCAAGGGACAACGAACGCAAGCGCGCAAGCGAACCATGGGCGTCGGAGTGAAGGAAGATGCTCGACGAGCACAAGACAAAGTGCCGGAAGGCTGGACGCAGAGCTGGATGACGGGAGAGGCCCCCAAGTCTATGATGGAATGCGACCCCATCGTCATTTGTTCCTCCCGCACATGGGAGATATGCCCGTGTCCGCGTGAAATCTACCGGTGGCGACGTCACATAAGGGGATGCGCAGAGCTATGACAGCCCTCAGAGAAATTTTGCGAGAGCAGCTGGGGGAGAGAAGCGTTGCCTGGCCGGGGAGGACCCCTATAAAGACTCAAATCGTGCCTCTCTTCCTGGCTTTCAGGCGTTCAGGAACGAAAGTAAGAACAAGCGCTACCCACTAACACACCAACGGGTGCCAAACAAATAAGTATGGGATGCGTAAATGCCAAGGTACGTGGGGTTGTATCATTACCTTTATGTTTTTGGAATAGCGTCCATTTTTGCGGGCAGTCAGGGTCGGAATCTTTGGTGTGTCCGACATTGTTCCTGAATTTACTTTGTAGCAGATCCTTCCTTTCTATCCTAATGCTTCACAATAGTTTTAAATATACACGTACCCTGAGTATATTCATTCCTCCTGCATACTTGCGAGTTTTCAATGGATGTCTTCTGCCGCTCTGTGAAACTCGGCCTTGCGAACCATTTAGTAACCATTAACTTGAACATACACATTTTTTTTCATTCGATGAACGGGCCACAGGCGGCAGCAAACAGCAACGGCCTACCCCCTTCCAAAAACCTCTCATTCGACAAAGACTACACACTGGGAAAAGAACTGGGCTCGGGAGCCTATGCCGTCGTGTACGAATGCACCAACAAGGCGACAGGACGGAAAGCGGCCGTGAAGATCGTGGACCGCTCCAAGTTGAGCGGAGAGGACGACGAGGCATTGAAGCAGGAGGTGGCAATCTTGCGGGACATGAAGCATGGGCACGTAGTCCAGTTGTTTGACTTCTATAAGGATAGACAAAAGTATTACTTGGTGCTGGAAATCTGCTTGGGGGGGGAGCTGTTCGACCGTATCGTCGAGAAAAAAAGCTACAACGAAAAAGAAGCCCGAGACCTGGTACGCATCCTCTTCGACACCCTGCGATATTGCCACTCCACCAAAGTTGTCCATCGGGACCTGAAGCCAGAGAACTTGTTGCTGGAGGACGAGCGGGACGACGCGAACATCAAGCTGGCTGATTTCGGCTTTGCCCAACGCATGCTGACGCCCAATAGCCTCACGACCCAATGCGGAACCCCTGGGTAGGTACTTGAATGGATTGCCGGGCCCTTTCCGCGCATTCGTGTCTCCTTGTCCTGTTTTCTTTCCTTCCCTCCATGTTGCTCTCTTGCCCGCAATCATTTCTCCACCTCCCTCGAAGCGCGCCTGTTCGCCTCATTGGTCTTCCTTGCCGAATATCCCAACCAGCTATGTGGCCCCAGAGATACTGAAAGGCATTCCGTACGGCGAGAAGGTGGACGTTTGGAGCGCGGGCGTGATCACCTACATCCTCCTGGGCGGCTACCCTCCCTTCTACGACGAGAACCAGGGCCGCATGTTCAGGTAGAACCCAGCTTTCCTCGCGGGAGCGTTTGAAAGTGTGGGTCTGGCTGCCTATACTTTCTGTGTTGTGCTTGGGGCCGACCCGGTCTCGCTCGCTCCCCCCACCCGTGCGCCGCCCTCATCAAACCCGACTCACCACCGCCGTGGACTCGTCTCGTTTTTTTCCTCGCGCTTTCTCCCTTTTCCCCATAGAAAAATCAAGCGCGGGGACTTCAAGTTCCATTCTCCCATGTGGGACCATGTGAGCCCCGAGGCCAAGGATTTGATCAAGAGGCTTCTGGTCGTGGACCCCCACAAGCGCCTGGACGCGGCAGGGGCCTTGAAGCACGCGTGGATCCTCACCAGCGACCACTTGCTGCAGAAACGCGATTTGGCTGGCACGGTGGAAGAGATGAAGAAGTACGAAGGGGGAAAAGGCCTGAAGAAGGGGAAGGGAGGGGGCACGGGAGCTGCTGGGGATTAAGGGAATCGTTCCTCTCGGGCTCACTCGCACGGCTTCAACATGCCTTTCGATCACTGTATTTCTAGACAATGCATTTGTATCCGTGCTCGATCTTCTCTTCCATCCGTCCTTCGTTTGATGACATCTCTAAATCGCTTTCTGTTTGCGCCTTGCACAGGTTCAACGCCAAACGGAAATTTCGCGGTGCTGCCAAGGCAGTGATTCTCATGCACCGCTTGAAGGGAAGCTCTATGAGTGGTAAGCTCGACGACTCGACCGGGGACGGGGAGGGGATGGACGAGAGCGGGCCCCCCGTGGACTTCAAGCCCGTCAGGGACAACATCTTGGCGACCAATGTTGTGGCCACTGCCTAAAGGGGGGGAAGTGGGTCAGATTGTGAAGAAAAGGACTGAATTGTGTAGTTTTGAGGAGGGTGAAATCACGAATTCTTCTGTGGGTAGTCTTCAAGTGCAAAAAGGTTGTAAATTGTATATTGGCGCAACAGCCAGTGACAGGCCAGAATGCTGCAAGGGCACACAAGTAGCAGGCCCTGTCAGGGGTCAGTTTATTCGTGACAATTTATGATTGGATGAGAAGTATCGGTGGAAGGAGAATATGTGAGGGAGGTTGAGATAAAAGTGACGAGGATGTGCGGGTAGCCATACACTTCACACCGAGAGCAAATTAGATTTTCGGTTATCAACACCGTCTGAGTGGCTTGACCTTTTCAAAACCCATATCCACATTGCTGTTCTAAATTCAGAATACACTCTAAATTCTGCGTTGTGTTGTTATTAAAATTCGTTCTCACACGACACGGGATCGCGACGGCTGTGCTGACATCTACACGCAGCGATATCATCCCCGGATGTGAGCAAAAGCCTGTAGATAGAGGCCTCGGAAGCCTGCTTTTCAGCCATTCCTTAATCCCTTTAATCGGTCGGTCACAAATGTATGACCATGTATGCATGACTTTCTCCTTAAGTCCTAAAGGTTTTGGTTCTCCCCTCCAAGGCAGAGGCAGACGAGGGGCGGGAGCTTTTCAGGTGGCGTCACTGTCAAGCAGGGCATCTCTACCGCCTAGGCAGCCCCTGCCCGCATCACGACAAAAAGCAATGCATGTGCGTCACAGCGCCATAGGGGGCACCAAGAAGAGTGTACAGGTCTACATGGATATTAAGATCGGGCCTCGCTTTGCGGGACGCATGGTCTTTGAGGTGCGTTGAGGTTGCTTTGGTTTCTTCTTCACCGTGCCTTAATGGAACATGTAATGTACGCTTGCTCATGACTGAGTCTTGACGAAGCCACCTCTACTTTTTTCGCACTTTCTCGAATCCCATTGATCCATTTTGCGAGCGCACTCAAGTCTGATCCCAAAATTGAAGCGCATGAAGGACGCCTTGTCTCGCACGTGTTCTCTTCCCTTGACACGCCACCATCCCTTTCTTTCGTAACCGTACAGCTCTTCACTGAACAAACCCCACGAACCGCGGAGAATTTCCGGGCCCTTTGTACTGGCGAGCGCGGTATCAGCCCCCTGTCGGGGCATCCGCTCCACTATAAAGGGTCGATCTTTCACCGCGTGATCAAGGGCTTCATGGCCCAGGGCGGAGACTTCACTGCTGGGGACGGTACGGGCGGCGAGTCCGTGTACGGGTACGTCGAAGCCGGAGGCGTTCGGGCCAAAAGGCAGGACGAATGAGTGAGGGCCCTGTGTCTGGAAGAGGCAGGGGGGGCACGACGGGCGGATGGGGGGGGGGGAAGAGGCCGCTGGGTGCCCGAGGGTCGCGAACAACTCGTTTTCAATGCGCCAACGCATGCGCCACTCCCTGCCTGCAGGCTCAAATTCGCGGACGAGGCATTCACGTACCAGCATGCCTCCCGAGGCACCCTCTCCATGGCCAACGCGGGCCCGGACACGAACGGGTCTCAGTTTTTCTTGACCTTCCGCGACACCCCGCATTTGGACGGAAAGCATGTGGTCTTTGGGCGGCTGCTGGAGGGGATGGAGGTGTTGCAGGTGGTGGAGATGGTGGCGACGGACGGGAGGGACCGGCCGCGCATGCCCGTGACGGTAGTGGACTGTGGGCAGATAGGGGAGACGGCGGAAGAGGACGAGGGGGACGAGGGGGAGAGAGGGGAGGAGGCAGAAGGAGCAGAGATGGGGGACAAGCCTGAGGAAGGAAGGCAGGGCAAAGGGGCCAAGAAAGTGCAGGGGGAGGAGGACAGCGGCGAGGACGAGGAGAAGGAGGAGGAGCGGATAAGGGAGGACGAGGAAGCGGAGGAGGAGGAAGAAGGAGAGAAGGAGGCGGACATGAGCGGGATGACGGAGACCCAACGTCGTTTGTACAAGCTCAAGTGGAAGCTAAACCAGGGCCGGAAACTGAATCGTCAGGCCGTGAAAGAGGAATTCACGCGCAAGAACACGCCCAACTTGGAAGCTCGTCTGCGGGCGGAGGAGCGGCGGGATTCGAACGAACGGTGGAGGAAAGAAATCCTGGCCCGGGGGATGAAACCGGAGGAGGCTTACATGTTCGAGACAGCGGAAGCGGCGGGAAAGAAACAGGCGGCGGCGGTCCGGAAGGCGAAAGGCCAGGCAGCCTTCGGATGGGACGTGTTCAACCAAGATGCCTTGTACAAAGCTTACAAGAAACGCCTGGGGAAACTCCCTTCCGCGGAAGGGGGAGCCAGGGCGGAGGAGGAGAAGGAGGGGCGGGGGGAGGAACCGGACCCTTTGGCTTACGGCCAGGCCCCCAGGGGGGAGGCGGCGGGCCTGGTCCGGATGACGGAGGAGCTGGAGGAGCGGGAGAGGGCGAGGAAGAACTTCAGCCGACGCCGGGCCGCGTACGAGGGGGAGGACGTGTCCTCCATCAACGAGCGGAACAAGATGTTCAACAAGAAGCTGAAGCGCGCCTACGACAAGTACACGGTCGAGACGCGGCAGAATTTAGAGAGGGGGACGGCCTTGTAGCACGGGGGGGCAAGGACGGCAAAAGGAAAAAATATTCAAGCTCAGCCATATCACGCACGGGGCGCGCGAGGTACGCCTCGGATGAGACGAGGCCAGGAAGCTTTGTGCTGCTTCTCTATTGCTTTGTACATGTGTCGCCGTCCTGACGACCGAGCTTCTCCCCCCTACCAGCTGTCTCGTCATCATGGCAGCGCGGGCCCGAGACCTCAGGGCGGCATTCCTCACCCGATTTTCAGCCCATCCACCCACGTATGCACACAACCTAACTTTGTACTTTCCCTCCGCCCCTGCCTCCCCCCGGTCCATCCTTGTCTTATCCGGCACCCCAGACCCTCTCCTCCCTGAGCTGCCCTTCCTCAACCAGGGGCCAAGCACACGCCCATGCCGCACAAGACGTGGGCTTAAGATGTAGGCCCATCTTCGCTCGCGCATTCCTCCCCCCCTCCCTCCCTCCCTCCCTCCCTCCCTCCCTCCGGGCGCGCTACCACGCGGTGCAATTACACAATGGCGCGGGCCCCCCGTCGTCTCCTTGCCCACGTGAATGAAGTAGTTCTGAAGCCCATACGTGAAGGGAAAGAGCCTCCGCCCGTTCCAAATCACCCGTCCCGCCACGTTCATGTCCACCATGAGCATGAGGGAGCCGGTTTGGAAGGCCAGGTCGAGCTGGAGGCTTTTCCATACGGAGGGCGTAAAGACCAGGGTCACCAGCACGTCCGTGATGGCGCCCCCCTTGATCAGAAAAGGCGCCACCTCCACCTGTCCGATCGCCTCGTGGTCGTGCTTGAAGACGCCTTGCCCGCTGCTGATGGCCACGTCCAGCCTGTTGGGGTTGTACACGCTCAAGAGCAGCTGGTAGTCTGCTTCGAGCTTCAGGCGCTCCAAGCCCGTGAAGAGGGAGCCCCAGTCCAAGGCCGTGTTGCACACGTTCACGTCCGGGACCTGCGGGGTGTACAAGAAGACCGCCACAGCCACCATGACCAGCCAGGCGAGGGTGAGGATGAGCGCGGCACGGATGACTTGCGAGCACACGACCAGGAAGCGAGACCGTTCCTCCACGCGGATCCGGGGCACCGGGTCCCAGACATCCTCCCCTCCGCTGCCTTGGGGTCGCCTTTCACCCAACACCCCTTCTCCTCCTCCCTTGCTCGGACCCGATCGACTGCGCCCCGCCAGTCCCTCCTCTTCCTCGTCGAAAGCCAGGAGTTCTTGGTAGTTCGGATCTTTTTCCATTCGCACCACCGTCGCATGCTTCACGTACTCGTTCGCCACGAAGAAGCAGGCGCTCGTGCAAAACAGGGAGGTAAGAAGGAAGATGCCCAAACCCACTAGGACAGAGCCTGATGGGGCAGGGTGCGGCTTCGCCTCCGGTTCCGAACGCACGCAGGCCTCGCTTCCGTAGCAGTTCACGCCCGTCAGGCACCCGTAAGGAGAGCCAATGGCGTGGCATTTGTTGTCTTTTCCGCACCAGTGACAAGAAATGCTGCTGTTGCTGCAAGTAAAGCAGTCTTGGAAATTGGCGCACGACTCAGCACGGACAGCATGGTATTGAAGAGAGAACGCGAGCACAACAAGGGCAAAGAAGAGGTTGCAGGGGAGGCCACCAAAAAATTGACACGGGATCATGCTTCGACACCGCGCCTGAGACCGACGCCTTCTCCATCGTTCCCTTGCGCTCGACGTTGGCTTGGGGTTGGATGCCGGTCTGGCAAAAATAGCGGGGTGCGTTGGTGCTGCTGCGGCGGCCATGGTGGCCCGAAGCCGCCTCGAAGAAGCAACGAGACCACTTCAAGCGGGAAATGTGATGATAAACACACCCAGGGAAGTGACCCTGAAAGGACAAGGAGATAAGGGAAGGTTGCATAAGGTCGTCGACTGTAGACAGGACCGCAACAATACGAGGACGCAAAGCCAGAAGGACAACAAAAAACATCTTTATAATCACAGCTTTTCCTGCTTGGCCCTTGTCCCTGTCGTCGCTCCAGCCCTCGATCCGATCTTCACCGCTACTCGCCTTGATGTTTATAGGTTGTCTGTGTCTAAAACCATGATAGAGTGCGGCCCTCAGCATTTTTTTGATACGTGCATGCATCATAAGGGAAGTCAGCATGCCTTATAATAAGAAATCAAAAAATCAATCCATGAAAAGTGGGGAAATATTGTTTTTCGCCTTCAGTCCATACATACTTTTTTTTCTTTGCCTATGATTGCCACCCTTGTACTCCTTTCCTGTTTAGCTTTCATTCTTTACACATTCTAGGATCACATCTCCGTCACATCACGCCAGCACAGTGGCTACTCCTGTATTAACATCGCAATGATACACCACGATTTCCGGATATCGCTCTTGCATGACGAGGCGGGAGAAATTGGGGTCATCGCAAAGCGGATTATGTGAGCGTTTGGGTGCATGATCATTGCTCCCTGAGGGCACATCTCTATTATTAACGGTATCTGGAGTGCCTTGTTCCATATTGCACTGCAACGCCACGTCAGTTGGAGACTTGCCACCTTCACCCAATCGCGAAACACGGGGTAAGATCTCTCGATAAATAATCCCAGGTGTTGCAACGTGCCGTGAGCTCATGTTCCCGTCGGCCCGGTTGAAAGCGAGGAAGGTGTCCTTGCTGTGATCCAAAAGCCCGCAAGCCTCCGCTACGTACTCGAATTCCGCCGAGACAATGGAATACTGTCGATTCCATCCTTTTCCATGCTGTGCCCAAAGATCTCCATCGTAAATAGCCGAATAGGAAGGCATTGGGGGTCGCAAATCAACGGCGTGAAACGATATGTACCGGGCATCGTATTCCTCTGGTTTAGAGACTAGTGGTTCATCATATAGTCCCATAGGCGTGGTTCCCAGAGTGCCTGTTATCTTCAAAACAAAGTTCTTGCCCATACGCGCCGCTATGTCGCACCAATAAAAGTACGTTACGTCCGAGTTCTTGAAGCCGATGTAAAGATCCAGAATGGCAGGAAGTTTCGCACGCCACAAGTAGAAGTCAGAATTTATCTTTTCTGTCTCTGCCACCGGACAAATGAAGCCAGGAATGTCTCTTAAGGGCAAAAGAAACTGGGGGAAACTCATAAATTTATCCAGTATAGCAGTGTTGCACTGTTCTTCGGCTGCTGTGCACTGAGGAATAACCTGAAATGCTTCTTGGTCGTGCTTCTTCCACTCTACAATAGGAGGATCCACGAAGCCAAAGAGGGATGCCCCCTTGCCCCATGTCAAGCTCTGATCATTGCGAGGATCCGAAGCGTAAAAGCGAATAGCCATGGTGAAAAGGTTATATGACGTGTTGCGCCCTCCTTGCAGACGTGTCAGCATGCGGTCAGGATGGTACGCTCTGAGCTCGTTAGGGTAACCTTGATCACCATTAGCTGTGAAATAGATCTCATAATAGCCATTCTCGTCCGCAGAATGTACCGGCGTTGTGAATGGATTCACACCTGATGATGGCTTTATTTGATAGTCTGCCCTACCATCTATAGGTTGGCGTAAGAAGGTGTAAGTCTGCACGGAGAAATAGCGCACTTTTGGAAATTGACCTCGAATGCGATACACCGTCTTGTCGTGCTCAAATATGGTGTGCAACGAATAATGATAAATCACATGGGGCTCTGGAGCGATAACGCTGACATCTGTCGGAGTGAAACTGAACTGCCAGGCGCAGGGTCCTTTCAAATGGCAGCCCTTCAATTTTGACTCCAGCTCCATTACGGTATGCACGTCCTCCGCGTAGCCGGAGGCCTCTATGGCAACAGTGGTCGAAGATTCGCGAAGATTCTTGCCATGCTGAAGGGTATCTGTAGTCGCGCTTACGCTGCACCCAGGACAAGAAAGGTTGGTAGGTCGGAAACGTAAGAGCCCAAAGGATTGAGACGTACTCTCCTGCAAACACATACCGTGAATTGCGAGGAAGGAATACCAGGAAAGCATATGGCAATAAATATGTGTATGCTTTCATTTTTGACTCGCGTGTATGGTGTATGTTGCCGTCACTTGATGGAGTGTAAAAAAGCTAGTGTTGCGTTTGGACGGATCGAAGTATCGGCTTAGTTAGAAAATTCACATTGCTTTTTATCCACCATTACACAAGGATTAAGGTAGTCGGAGCGATTCTGACAAATAATCCTCAACACGACGATCTGTCTGTGGTTTTTAAGGGGCTCCATGAACATGTCGCTGCCGCATCCAGGAAAAGAAGTAAAGACGTGCTGTGCGGATCGAAAGCGAGCGGGTTGAAGTTCTCGAATCGTTACTGGACACCAGAAACGTCACACGTATCCCGTTCAACTGAGCTTCTACCCCATTTAGGAGTAACTAAAATCACAATGTTGAAGTTCTCGAATCGTTACTGGACACCAGAAACGTCACACGTATCCCGTTCAACTGAGCTTCTACCCCATTTAGGAGTAACTAAAATCACAATTATGTTTTCGGCCATATTATTCGCTCCTTTCTATTGTGTTTATCGCGAGGAGTCCTATCTAGTCGCATTCACATCGTTTGCACGTTCAAAAACTTCCCCCCCCCCCGGCGATTTCATTACTACTGCTTGCCTTCATGGTCTCTCCCTGAACCTATCCTTGAATAAACTCCATAGACGCGAATAATAGTTCCCATCAAAGCGTCCTTGATCTGATTAATAACACCGTCCTCAAAGGCCATGTCATTGATCAAACGAAGACCACCGCTTTGCAGCCATTCGTCCGCATTTCGCACAGAAGGGCACAAGGACCGAGTAGATTCTGGGTCGCGTGAGTGACCTTCCCCTGGACATCTTGCGTGGTACCATTTGTACATCTCAACGCTGGGTATGGCAAGTGAAATGATGTAGCGGTTTCCTTAGCGAGAATGAGAGAAGTAACAAGCACGTTGCAAAATTCATATTACGTACATGAGCTCTGATCCTGGGATAGGCAAACGTTGGAAAAAATCAAGTGGGAGCTGGGTGTAGGATGATTCCACACCTGTCAAGTTAGCCACCTTTTCAACAAATTGCTTAGGTGAAAGCACGTCCCCGGCTATGGGGAGCACAATTTCAGAAGGAATATCCGAATGCGGGGCGAGGAGGACAGTGGCAGCCACCCTTCCGATATCCTTCGGGGAAATGAATGGAATGGCCATATCTTCTAGCAGAGGAATAGAGAAAAAATATCTGCTAATACGTCCTGATGAGGGATTACGCTCAATACGCACCCGTTTCGTGCCCCTTTTGGTGACAATATTCTCGTAAAAAAAGGCAGTATGGAGATAAACTATGTGGGAGAAATTCAAAGTGCGCAAGTATTCCTCTATTTGGAACTTGTTATCCATCGCATACACCCCAATACGCTCTCCACCTGAGAACACGACGCGTTTCACGCCAGCCGCTATCGCTGCGTCCCCCAAATTCTTGCCTTGTTGTACCTCGGAGCCGTCGTGATCAGAAAATGTCACCAGGAATAGTGAATGCACCCCTGCCATGGCCCGTCCCACGAAGGGACGGTCAAGCAGACTACCTTCATAAAGCTCAACACCGTGGGCGGTAAGAGCCAATGCTGCCTGTCAAAAAATATGCCCGTAGAGTTCGCTAGTACATAAGGAAATGACCTTTTGACAGGAAAGTCGATCATACGTACCTTACTCCTGGCGTTTCGTGAGGTAGTACGCAGCCGTAGACGATTACTGACAATCAAATCCTGGATGCAACCAGAGCCCTGTAAGCCCGTGCCTCCGATTATGAGAGCCAGGGGTAATCGCGATTCTGGTTCCAATGCTTTGTCTTGTGTTGTCGGTTTTGGCATGTCTAATCCAAAGCAATTGCAAAAAAGGAGTTGTGACTTGTTTGAGGTCTTATAATAAAGCAAAAAAAATTAAATATCATAGTAAGCCTTGCCATCGTTATTTGAGTGACATATGGACGCCTTTGTTCGAGACAGCCTTTTTCGAACCCACCAAAACTTCAACTGACTTGTCTTCCCGGGAGAGGGAGGAGGTTAGCGACGTTGGATGGAAGCCATTGACGTGCCAAGTTTCCTGAAGTGAAGTATGTCTTAGCTTCTCTCAACATCCTTTGTCAACTTTGTACAGAAATGGAGCTGGCTTTGATAACATTTTCCAGATAAGCGGCGGCCAGTCACTTGGAAAAGAAAATATCTTGCTGTTTGATAATGGTGGTCGAGCCCACTGGCATTATGGACGGAGATGAGACACAAGCCGGTATGACTCCTTCAACGATCAAAATACCGGTAGATTGTAGAAGGATGCTGACGAAAGAAGAGGGTTGGAATTCGGGTACCGATAGCAAATATCGATGTGAGGCTAAAGGATCAGGACGGGGCAAAGATGTTTCTCCTACGTCTACTTCTCCACTTCTTGTGCCGGTGGCGGATACAGAAATCAAAAGGAAAGTTGGCTGTATAGGTGAAGATGGTAGGAGTAGTGATGATTCATCAGACGACGACGGTGACCGGGGGATGCAGCTTGGGTTTGTGGAGCGGCTCCCCGAGGAGATGCAAAATCGCTTGTTGTTCCAAGACCCTGACTGGCGCGACTGGGACGGAGGGAAAGTGGGCGGGAAGCCCATATGGCTAAACCCTAGAGATCTACCCCCTCAAAAATTGTTGCTTTGTCCCTCCTGCCAAGATCCTCTTAGCTTCGTCCTGCAGATTTATTGCCCTCTTGACGAGCCTGAGGAGGCCTTTCATCGCGCCCTATACGTCTTTGTCTGCCAAAAGTTTCGATGCCAAGGACCGGGGTGCGTTAAAGCTCTGCGCTGTCAATTACCTCGTCAAAATTTATTTTATGCTTCAGATCCTCGGGATATTAGGAAAAACGGAGGCCGTATAAAGGGACGAGCAGCCCTTGCAGTGCGGACGTGTGACGTGTGCGGGCTGCGGGCAGACAAAGTCTGCGCGGGCTGTAAACGCGTTAGCTACTGCACACCCAAACATCAAAAGGAAGGATGGAAAACAGGACATAAATTGGACTGCAGAAAAGTGGAGAGAGAAAAGCTCGCTACCGAGGGTGGCGGCCAGGAAAGGGGTGCAAACCTTACCTCTGGGGGTGTCCCAGCGTCTTCGGTCAATCCCCCTCAGGCGAATGCACCAGACCTTGGGAGACCTGCTGACTCGGGAGTCAAAAACGCTCTGCGCTCTACATTTCCTGAATATGAGATCGTGATCGAGGAGGAACGCGTACAGAACGATGCGGTCCGTGACGCTCGTGAGCAGGATGCAGACGCGGCGCTTTTAGAGAAATACAAACACGTCATCGTCTCAGAAACCGACGACGACGCCTCTCTTGATCAACAGCATTTGAATCAAGCCACGGGGGCCAAGTTGGCCCTGACGGACGCTCTGAGCTTGCGGTTCCTGGCTGTGATCGGTCGCTACCCTGCACAGATTCTTCGCTACGCACGCTGGGATGACGCGGCCGCCTTGTGGGTCTCCCGAGACGAACGTCCCGCCTCAAGCACCGACATTCCTTCCTGCCCTCTCTGTGGAGCGAGGCGCGCCTTTGAGTTTCAGGTCATGCCGCAACTCCTCCACCACCTCCGGGTGGATGCACAGGTGCAAGCACCCGGGCATCTCCAGCTCGGCTCCCTGGATTGGGGAACTTTGGCCGTGTATACATGCGTTAAAAGTTGTAGGACCGGTGAGAAAGTCACCGGGATCGAGGAGGGGACGGGAGGGGAAGAGGGGAGGTATGTAGAGGAGTTTGTCTGGCGGCAAAAGCCGATGGCGTGATCGGAGGCGGGAAAAATTCAAAGCAGTCACACAGCAATGAGGATGAGTCTTTCATATCAATGTTTGCTTCCTTCCATGAGTCCTGTCATCCTTGAATTACGTCCACCCGATCAAAGACGGCTGAACCATCACCACCACATCCAATACCCGGACACGCAAGTTGCTTCAAAACATGGCTCCCTGGCGGCATCTTTATACCACTCATGAAGACGTGGCGCTGCTGCTTCCACCAACTCCGCGTGTCCATCGACTAACCGTTGCATGAAGGGAAGCAAGGTCGCATCTGCTGCCGAGAAAGTCGCGCCCGCCAAGAAAGGGCATGGCCCAATAATCTCTTTGTCGAGCTGATTCAACGATGAAAAAAGGCTAGTTATGTCTTTTCGTTCGATGGCCGTGCGAGCGCTCCTCAGGAATGGATTCAGGAGCGAACGCAAGTGAGTGTAAGCCTTAGGCGAGGCGGGAACCAGCGGATTGGGAAAGCCAAGCTTTGGACCTGGAAGGCTTGTAAGATGGTCAAGAATATTGTCGGACTCCACAACACATCGCCCAGACGGCAGCCATAGCACTGGTACCTGTCCTTTAGGACTGATGTCCAGAAACCATTGCGGTTTGCCACTCCCTCCGTAGAGTCCTACCTCCAACAAATCATAATCCTTGGACCCAGCATACAAGTATTCAAGCGCAATCCACGCTTTTTGCGCAAAAGGGCATTTTTTGTTCGTGACGAGTCGAAGCCGTGAAGGGTTCGAAGGTTTGGAAGAAGAGGCAGAAATCATACTTAATGGTGTCAAATAAGCCTGAGTGCCGAGGAGGAAGAGGCAGAGGGAGAAAAATATTGCGCACCACCCGCTGACGCCCGATGGAGTTGTTGCAACTCTTCGACTTCTCATTCAGCTCACTTTTCCGGCAAAGTAGCTGAAGAAGCGTCGTAAACTCTGTGCTGCAGAGGAGGAAAGGGGTGGGGAAGGGGGGGGGAGGTTACTTCGTTTAAGACACATTGTACCACTTTTTTTCCTCATTTACGCGAGTTGCATGAAAGTTTCACTCGTGAAAGCGAGACAATTAATTGAATTGCAAGTGAGTGTTCATATTGAACAATCAGACAACCTTGCGTAGCGGTACACGTCTCTCTGGGCACACAACCCACATGACTTGTGGGCATATCACCAAACCCTTCGGAAGAAAATTTTGATAGAATCAAGAATACAGCTGTAGATCGTAAATCCAATGATATTCATTTTTGTCGAAATGTGGCCACAAAATGTGGCTAAAGCTTTTTGCCTGAACTCTCTAGACCAAAACTTTCAAATCGGCCCTTAGTTCTAGGCATCAACGTATTAACATTTTTCAAAGTCTCGCTTTCTCTCGACTCTTTTGAGTCTCAATCAGAGCTGAACTCCTTTTGAAGGTCATTTCTCGGCAGTCTTCTCCGCTTCTGCCTGATTTTTGCCCTTACCAGTACCTTCGTGTCCTTTTCCTTTCTCTTCTTCCTCTTCCTCGTCTTTTTCTTCCTCGCCCTCATGCGCCTTCCGCCATTCTTGCAAGCGTTTGTATTCGTCGTAGTGACTCATTCGCTTTTTGGCAAAGGCCGCGTGCTGAGGGCTCTTCATCAGCTTGTCGTCTGAAGCACGGTCATGTCCTGAATCCGAGGAAAAACTTGCCGATCTGTCTTTGCCTGAGCGCTGGCTGCTGCCGCTCCCGCTTCGAGACATGGACGGAGACTGTCCATCCCCTTTCCCTCCTGCATCGGACACTGCCGACGATGAACCCCTCGCTTGTCGAAGAGCCTCTCGATTTTGGGCAGCTTGTTCCAGTGCTGTCGTCAGTTCCTGCCAGTTTTCCGCTAGGTAGCCAGGTTGACTTTTCTTGGCAATTTGACTGGGCGTTCCAGGTGCTGAGGAGACGGAGTTCGAGCGGGAGACCCGATTTCGGGTGACAGGACTGCCCTTATTTCCGGGGGGCTTGTCATCTTCGCCCTCTCCAGTCCCATCCAACTTCATGTTGTCATCCTCGGCGTCGGCTGGTTCGTAGGACATGTGGTAGGGCGTGGGGGGTTCATCGATCTATGTCGGCGACGGACGGGATCAGGACAGGGAGAGATGGCCCGGGAAGGGTGAGAGAGGGAGGATCAGTGATTCTCGAAGTGGAAGGTCGATGGGGTTCAATGGGAGGGAAATGGCCTACTTTTTGTCGCGTTCCCCGCAGCTTGTCGTGCTCCGCGATTGTCTCCTCATCCCATCTAACCCTGAAAAGACAAGGACGATAGTATTGCGGAGGACGGTGGGCGAGGACGCGGTGTGGGTATTTGACATCCCCATGTGCTTTCAAATGCGCAAGAACCAGAATCATGTACAGAATCCCCGTGACCCACGACGGGGCACTTACCCTCTTCTTGACGCATCATCTTCTTGGCGGCATCCGGAGGCACTCATGACTGTCCGACGGAGACAAATGAATATATCTGTTTCTCGAAGACGGAGCGTACGACAGTAGCATCTTAATAAGTTTGATTTTAACCCATTAATCAGTATTACACAGCGCACAATACAAAGCGCTAAATAACCGAAGTAATAAAACATCGCATGCAATTCCTCCCGTTCGGTTTCCTTTTGCAAGTCGTGCGAAATAGCAAGCAAGTCATCTCGATCTCAGGCGTGCTTCAATTGCCGGTCTCTTCTCGGCAATTGCAGCCCCGTCCCAGAAAATATAACTTAAATTGGACAGGGCAATTTTCCGGCTGACACTTTCTAAAATCCTTGAGATGTTCGGGGACGCAGTTCTCAATCCGAAAATAGGTGGGTCACGACACGGAAGTAGAGGGCATTGGAGTTACGACGGGCGTGGGCGAGAATTCATGTTCAAGGAAACCTACGCTGCATAAAGAAAGCACTCATTTCGTTTCCTGTTTTTGATCCTTCTGGCTTTCCTTGGTACCCCCTCAGACGCGCAGGATATCGAAGAATCCAAGACTATCGTAGGCCTTCATTTGGACAGCATAGCGCCCGAGCTCCTGGTCAAGGAGGCCATACAAGAGGCGGCGTACCCTGGACAGGCGCTGGGTAGGCCGCACTTCGTGACGCCTGAGACTCTGCCGGGGTAAGTTGGCGGACGTGGGGATTGGGAAGAAGCTAAGTGTGGGTTGGGGATACACGACAGAAGTACATCTCACAGTGTTGCTCCAATATCTCCTTAGGCTCAGCGCCGAGGGACTCAAGGCATTCCAGACGCGGCATTTTACGGCGAGGAGCATGGTGCTGGCCGCGGCGGGTGTGGAGCACGAAGCATTTGTTGACCTTGCGAAAAAGCATTTCGGGCGCTTGCCGGCAGGAGAAGGCGCTCACAAGCGCGCACGGGCCCTTTATCAGGGGGGCGAGAAGCGGATTGAGCAGCCTGACAGCATAGACCCATTTACTCGCGTGGCCGTGGGCTTCGAGGTGGCGGGATGGCATGACAAGGACCTGGTAGCCATGTGCGTGATGCAAATCCTCCTGGGTGGTGGGGACTCTTTCTCCGCAGGCGGGCCTGGGAAAGGCATGTACTCACGGTTATATAGGGAACTTTTGAATCGGTACTACTGGGTAGAGGGAGCCGAGGCCTTTGTGAACCTTCATAATGAGACGGGGGTCCTGGGGATTGCAGGTGCCTGCGAGGCCGCTCGTGCCGGTCAGCTCATGCACGAATTCTGTGCGCAAATCTGCAAACTCGCCTTGACGCCGGTTGATCCTGTAGAATTGTCCCGGGCGAGGAACATGCTGAAGTGCAATGTCTTGACACAGCTTGAATCTCGAATCATTCTCTTCGAAGACATTGGCCGGCAGATGATCACGTACGGGCATCGCGAGGCTCCTGAGGCCTTGTGTCGCAAGATTGACGAGGTCAAGGCCGAGGATTTGATGAAAATAGCGCGGCGGGCCATTTCAAAGCCGGTTTCCATCTCAGCGGTTGGAAAAGATTTGAGGACAGTGCCCAATTATGAGCAGGTACTACAGTGGTTTGCTCAGTCATGACGCTCGCTCGTGCATGGGTATTAGGAAAAGGGCCTATAGAACAGCGATGTGAATACTACATTAGTTTTGAAGCATGAAAGAAAACACATCCCATCGAAAAGTGAGTCGAATTCCTTTGCAAAAGATCTTACTCATGCCTCCATGTTTTTGATTATTTCATGTGAATAAAATGCTGTCTTATGGCAAGAGCGCTTATGGTTATACGCTTGACATTGGACATGAGAGGGATGATGCACAGTGACATCGATTAACCGCCAGAAATTTTAATTGCTTGGGGTTAAAAAGACATGGCACGACATTCCATGTCACGAATGTGCTGTCTTCAATACCGTCATCGGGCCTCTCTCGGTTATGATGGCAACTTCCGAAAAAACAGCGAACTAGGGAATTTTTTTGTATGCAGGATGAAAATTCACACCTCAATAATTCCGTGTATTCTATAATTTGTACTAGTCCTGTGGTTGTTTCCATCGACCGGATGTATGCTGAATTTCCCAAAAAAATCCATGGTGGGGTACTCATCCAAGTTCTCAGGGCTTTTCGCAGATGTCGAGAAGTGTCGACATGAAAGACAACCGATGACATGTCATGTCATCGACGTAAGTCGACATCGAGTCTGTGGTTTATGTGGAGGACATGTCCACTCGACATGTGAAGTGTTAACCTTGCATCGTATACGCAAGACTAATAGAAGGGTCTCAGAAATAACCCGGATGTACAAAGGCAGCCAAGACGAAGATGACGTCGGCGTGGAAGGCGCGACACACTCGTACAGTACGGGTTCTCAGGGCTTTTCAGTAAAAGCTACCCGGACGTATGTTCGAGGGAAAGTTCTATCTTCACCATCTCGCACTAATGTGAGAGTGGTAAAAAAGTGGTTTTTCCTATCGGGAATTTCTGTATGGAGCATGAAAAATAATATTTTAATAATTTCGTGGAATCTATGATTTTAACTAGTCCTGTGGTTTTTTCCATCGACCAGCGCCCATATCTTGAAGCAACATCGATGGGTTACTACAAGAGGACCGTAAAACGCGAAAAACTTCTTCACAGATTCGTAAATTGTATAGTTTAGCTAGTTTTGTGGTTAT